GTCCCTGAGCCTTGTCCTCAGTGGAGTTTGCACCAGCATTTTCCAGGAAAATAAGAGAAAGGGGATGGGAATGCTGCGACTCGTTAACGTAGATGAAATCTCATCAGGAGGCAGAGCTGTCACGTGAAGGAACCGGGCAGCTCCGAGCTTCCCTCAGTGCTGAAATCGGGTGGCAAATCCTACCAGGATGAGGGGTAAGGAGAGCTGGCCCACCAAAACCAGCAGCTCTTTGAGGGGCCCGGCGGGGAACGGCCTGAAATTCTACACATTTCCCCAAAAGAGGAAGCCCCAAGGTTTGCAAACAAACAGCTGCTCAAAACTACGTCTCCAGACTTCATTAGGAACAGAAAAAATGCCTCGCTCTGTGCCAAATGGACATTTTGCTGCCAAGAAAGTGCCACCTACTGGATCTCATCCGGTGGGGAATCACCAGGATGGGGGAAAAACTCAGAAAACATAATGCTGGGAAAAGTACGTTTTTTCATATTTTTTAATTAAAACAACAGAAAACTACACTGATAGTTCTCCCAGCCACAACCCCTCTCCAGCCATTCTCCCTCCACAGCAGAATCAGACAGACTTTTGAAGTGGATAAAAGCTGGGGAGGGGGATGAAGTTTTAGGATTTGCAAAGAGGGACTCACCGGTGCTGAGAAGCCGCTCTCGTTTCCCGCAGTTCGCTCAGCTCCCGTGAGTTCTCTCCCAATTTCCCGTGCCTTCCTAGTTAAATCCTGCTGCCATTCTCCAGCAGTCAAGCTCCGTGTCCTGCCTGCACAGGCTGTGAGCCCGATGCCCCGAAGGCTGAAGGAGAGTGGGAGGCAGAGCCCACCCGGCACCCCGGCCTGGGGGTCCCCGTACCGTGGCTCCCCGCTGCCCTTTCCTCCCGGTGCCGCTCGCCGCGGGTGTCTGAGAGCAGGTGACAGAGGTTCCTTGGCAGAGGAGAGAGGAGGGGAGGGATGTGGAGGCAGCGAGAGGTGGAGCTGGGACCCGGAGCAACAGGTTACTGTATAACCAGGAGCCGGTGGCCCCGGGAGCGCCGGAGGCTGCTGCAGCCTTCGCCCACTCCCCAGGCAAGGCGACCAAGAGCCCAGGAGGGACGTGTTAAACTTGGGGTTTCTTGCTCCCGAGATCATTTTGTACCCAATGGGAAGGGTGAAGGTGGCGAGGGGAGGTGAAGGAGTGCTTGGAGCTCAGTTTTCCATCGCCGGTGAGGGAGGGGACGTGCTGCCCGACCGCCTCATGGGGGGAACAAGGCACCTTTTGTGCAGCCCGGGCTCTCCTCAGCGCTGGCTCGCGGCTTGTTTTCCTCCAGCATCGCCCCTGCCTGCTCTCTGTCCCGACGTCTGCGGCAAGGGAAGGTGCTGGGAGACGGAGGGAAAAGGCAAAGCGTCCTTTCTCTCACATTCCCCAAAGCAATCAGGGGTGCGGAGCAGAGTCCCCTTTGGGGTACCCCCTCTGTGGCACTGCGCTCCTTGGGCTTATGTGGCCATAAAACCCCTCGTTTTGCCCCAGCTCTTCCATGAAAGAGTAGATTTAGATGGGATATTGGGAATATATTCTTCCCTGTGGGGATGCTGAGGCTCTGGCACAGAGAAGCTGTGGCTGCCCCATCTCTGGAATTGTTCAAAGCCAGGTTAGACAGGGCTTGGAACAACCTGGGATAGTGGAAGGTGTGCTTGGCAGGGAAGATATCAGCTGAATCATAGCGATGTGTCCATGGCAGGGTGGGGTCATTCTGGCTAGCCATTCCTCTCCCAAAACTGAGGCTTTTGAGAGTGTTTTTGTGGAAGTTCACGTGTCTGCAGGCTTCCCCACCATGCCCAGGCTGTGTGTTGAACCACTGCCATGCCCATGTGAAGTGAGACCCCGTGTTGCTGGCCCTGGCAGGAAACAGCTGAACTGCGACACTAGGGAAAGAAACAAGGAAAAGCTTCCCCCTCAGGACAGCAGTCTGGGAGAAGCCCAAACTCTTTAGCTTTACATTTGCTGAGTTTCCCGCTGCTGTGGGTTTCTTTGAGGGGCTTCTGCCCAGCGCAGGGCTTGGCCCGGGTCCAGGCGCCGCACGCACGGAGGAGCCGCCCTGGTGAGTTCCTGTGGGAGGAATGCGGCCGGGTGAGCCGGGCGGGCAGGGGGAGAGCAGCTCCCTGCTGACAGCCGGCATTTCTGCAGCTCGGCTTTGACAGGACCACGACCTTTCCTGCTGCGGGAGAACACGAACCGATACTTGGTGTGACACTCCCACCCAGTGCCCCGTCATCCTCGTCAGGATCCCCGGGGACAGATTGTGAAAACACGGCCAGCCCTAGGAAAGGCAGGATTTAGGGAATGCCTGCTGTACCAGGCAGAAGGAATATCAGTCCAACACAAGAGAAATGCAGTGGGAATGTCAGCCGCGTTGGAGCCTTGTGAGCCTCAGCAGCCAGAAGGTTTTGTGCAGGAGATCCCTACTCCCTGAAACGCATCACTGGGGTATTTCAGCAGGACTGCTGGGCTGGGCTGGCTTTCCTGGGATGCAAACAGGGAGCTGACAGGATGGTGTTTTAAGGCACTGCTTCCTATCCAGCTCTGCATTCACAATGAAGACAGGGCTACTGTGAGCTGCTGTGCCCCACAGCAAATCTCTTAACTGCTCTGCAGAGGCAGCAACTTTTCCTCTGGGCAGGGAAGAAAACCACAGCAGAGCTTATTACACCTTCCCAGCTGTCCCACCTGACAGCTGGTGCCGGTGAGGGTGGGCCAGAGGCAACTGGAGAATCATGGAATGGTTTGGCAGGAAGGAATCACGCTGTGGTATGGTGGTGGTTCCTGTCATGGCTCCCAGGTGTGGAATCAACTGAGTGCATGTCCTCAGCCTCCCTCCTTCACTGGAGCACCAGGCCACTCCAGAGGGACACCATAAAGTCATGGACCCATAACACCCTATCTTCCAGTATCTCCAATTTGGAAATCCCGGGAGGCTGACTTGCCTCTCGGGATCAGCCTTTTAAATCAGCTTGGCGGCAGACACCCCTGTGATGGCTCAAGAACAAAGACTTGTCGAGTAAACACCACCCAAACCCAGCTCCTCAAAATATGTGTTCCTCTAAATTTTTAATGCTGTTTGCATCCAACTTGCTTGTCCTGTTTCAGAAGGGCTGGGCCTCGTAATTAAAAGCTCCAGCGATTGTATGTCTGGCAAATGTCATCAATGGCTTCACTATGCCTGCCCTGCTTCTCCAAGCAGTGGGAACAGTTTGGAAAGGAGCTCCTGGTTAGGGAAACTCTCTGAAGCTGATTCACTTTGGGTCTTTGTACCACCTCAGCATCAAGAGATGCCACCATGAAATCAGGGACACCAACACATTGACAATTCCCATTGAAAGCCTGGAAATACTTGGGATGAAGGAGTTGTCTGAAGATTCCAGGCTTCATGCTTCATCTTAGAGTGCAGGTCTGTCAACAGCAGCAGTACCCCTCAGAAGAGTTCATGGACAATTTTATCTGGAATTGGAAAACTGAAACCAGAGCTGTCCTGCCCTTGTGAGAATGCAAGTCCAGGTTGGTGCCAGTTGAGCCCAGCAGGCACTGATAGCCAGCAAGGGCTCTGAACAGTTTCAGCCATCAGGCCTTGCCCTGAAACGAGCCAAAAAAATTAATGTTTGTTATCCTATGTGCATATTTACCCCATGCCTCACTATCACTAAGTACTGGCACTCTCTGCTGATCCTTGTTTTACACCCAGGTGATGGAAAGGGAGCAAAGGGTACACCATGTTTTATAATTCATATTTTGTGTTTATTTTGTTTGTGGTGATCACTCAAGAAGGTGAAGCACAGGAGCTGTGACTCAACATTAACCTGTGTGACCCTGTTTGCTGTTATCACCTGCATTCAGGTAAAAATTCCACTTTGCAATATTCCTTTTAGAACCTGTCAGTTGTTCTGTGGGCAGACCTTCGTGTAAGGCAGGTGCAAACACCAGGAAAAGTTTGTGCTTTTTTTTTGTGCCCATCCAGGAAGAGTTTTGCTTGTGTCCTTTGATCGTTAATGGGGCAGGGACAGCTCGGTATGTTGGTCACTCCTTGGAACAAGCATGTGATGGCACATTCCATCATGCCAAGCAAATCTGGGAGGACAAATAGGTGGGGGCTCTATTCAGGCAGATTAAGCACAGAAACATTTGATGGTTCCATTTCCTGGGTGCTCCTTAGCCCCTGTTCTGCTGTGATGTTTCTGTGGGAGCAGCAAAGGGCTGGCTGTGCCCTGGCTTAGCAGGACCTGTCCAAGGGGATTTGTGCCAGTGGGTACTCTGTGACTGCCAGGGGGTGTAATGTGGACAGAACTTGCTGTTACCTGGCCTGTGAGTAGAAAGGTTAGGGTTGGATGGGACTTTAAACCTCATCTCCTTCTATCTCCCCTGCCAAGGGCAGGGACACCTTCCACTAGACCACATTGCTGCAAGTCCCATTCAGCCTGTCCTTGGACACTGCCAGGGATCCAGGGCAGCCACAGCTTCTCTGGGCAACCTGTGCCAGGGGCTCAGCACCCTCTGAGTCACAAATTTCTTGCTGGTATCTCATCGAAACCAATCCTCTTTTGGCTTGACACCACTCTCCCTTGTCCTGTCACTACATGCTCTTGTGAAAGCTCCCTCTCTTTCTTGTAAGCCCCCTCTAGGTACTAGAATCCTTAAGGCTGGAAAAGCCCTCTGTGATGGTCAAGTCCAAGCATGGAATGACTGAGGGATGAAACTGAGCTCTTCCACAGAACTTCTGTGTCTTTCATCCCTTTCTACCCACACCAGAAAGCAAAGAGCAGCGTGGCTGAGGTGCCACAGGCCTGCACCCCACAGTTTTCAGCCCCTGGTGATTGCAAATTAACTCAGACCTTCCCAGGGCAGGAGAAGGGGCTACACACAGCAGCAGGATCAGGATCAGAAGGGGCTTCCACACACATCCAGGCTTGCCAAGTCTTCCTTTGGATGACTTAGCTGGAGCCCAAGATCTGAACAAGATGCTCTGCATTTCAAACACTTCTTAGACCTAAACCATTATTTATTTGAATGAATAAATAAATACAAAAATAGGAAATTCTGAATATAAAAGAGGCTTCTTCAAAAACCCAGGAACTCCCAAAGCTTTCCATTAACACATATTTTTGAGACAGTAAAAAACTCTGCAGTTGCACCAGTCAGAAGTTAAGACAGACTTGAATATAGTAATTTTTGCAAAATAGTAGAAATAAGCACATTTAACACCAAATAGAAATAAAACTGCCAACATTCTGTTGGACTTTTAAACAGGACAGAAGGGAGAATGAATGGTGAATGGTTTTGTTCATTTTAAGTCCATTCTGTCTAACCAAACATCCCCTCACGTAGTAAGAACTGGCTGCCAAACCTTGTGGCTTGGCTCTCCAGGTATGCACAAAACCCAGTTCCACTCTCCCCCGCTGGGATACATCAGGTTCTGCCCTACTAAAGTCAGGGAAATTACCACTGAGGTCTGGAAACACAAATGAGAGCAGCAGAGCAGCTGTGCCCTCAAACACGGACGTGTGCGTGGCAAGGCACAAGTGAGCCCTGGCCTGATTAATTTCTGTGTCGCTTGGGCTGCATGTTGCTCCCGTGCCATGAAAACTGCCACCATGCCAGCAGCACTGCCTCCTGTCCTGTGCTGGGAATGGATATTTAGTACTGACCCCTGGTGAATGCCAGAGTGTTAAGTGTTTTGTGATTCACCCCTTGCCTTTGCTCATAAATAAGCCAATGGTGGACAGCATCACACAGCTCCTGGGCGGGACATCTATGTCCCCAAAACTTCTCATTTAACCAGAGAGAAGCTTTCCAGGGTTTTTCTACACAAAGGAATTCAGCAGTGGAAACGAAGCCCCACTCTTTCAGAGAAGGAACGTGTGGCAGGTGTGTGGGAAGGGCCAGGCTCAGCTGACAAAGGCAGCGATGGCTGTGACCTTGAGGCCCGACTCAAGCCCGTAGGCGGCGAGCAGCACAGCGTTGAGGAGCACATCTGCCCACATCACGTAGCTCTGCCACAGCAGCAGGTACACACACAGCAGCATGCTGCCCACCGTGAGCCCCAGGCTCAGCCCTAGCGGCGCCTCTGCTTCTGTCAGGTTACCCTTGAAACCTGCGAGGAAACACAAACCAAAAGTCCAATTTGTTCTGACAACAGCTCAAGCTGTAACTCAAGAATACTCCTGCTCAAAAAAGGCCCCGGTTCTGACTTTGCTCTTACTGAGTCCTAAAAAAGCTCAGAATACACTGAAATACCAGCCTGAATCAAAGCTCTGCCAGCAATCAAACAACAAGCCCAACACCAATGGACAATCCATTTCAAAACAGGAAAACTAAACAAAGTTAATCTAAATAAGTTCATCAGTTGATAATCACAGCCAGGGCACCTCTTCTTACCACAGAGAATCAGTTCTGAAGCTGCATCCTTCTGAGCACTCAGATTCAACCATCAAACTCTTCCTGAGCCCTCCAGCCCTGCACTCAACACAGTGACCTCAGTGCACTCCTGGAGTCCAATCCTCATTTTCAAGTCTTATTCCCTTCTAATCTATACCTGTTTCAGATGACTGGTATTGTGGAGAAGCTGTCCTTCTCTCTTCTTTGCAGCTTATTTCCAAGCTCAGCTCAGTAGATTTTGGTGTTTAACTACATTAGAGTTGAAACCCACCTCTTTATTAATGGATCAGGCTCCATAAATACCCAGAGAGATTTAAAGCAGCGGAATAAATCCAACCCTAAAGCCACTCAGATTGATTCAAGGGCCCCACCCTGCATAAATGCCTTTGGAATATTAAGCAGATTTAAATTGTGATTTGGGTTTTTTAAAAATTGGACTTGAAAAAGTTTTAGCAGGCTTTGGACGAGGTCAGGAGGCCCTTCCCGCCCTTCTGTCTTAGTGAAAGGAAGGTGTTGGTGCTGGCAGGGGCGTCCTCAGGAGAGAAAGGAAAGGTGTAGGGGTCTCCAAATATCTGCTCAACTGACAGACTCCATTTCCAAATGATTCATGTTTACAGATTACATTCCAGTCGCACTGATAACATCACCTACCCAAGTACAATCGAGGCACTTCCAGAATGGCCATAAGGAAAAGCACGGCAAGATCAGGAGCCAAAAAATCATCTGGATAACTGAAAACCTGACCTGGAGAATAAACCAGAGTAAATAAAGCAGGAAGACACAGCGGGACAAAACCCAGCTGTACATCAGCACAGCCTGCTCTGGGGACAATACCTGCAACTTACTTTTGTAAATAATCATTGCAAGAGTTGCCAAGAAGTAGAAGATGTAATAAACCCCATTTACATAAAGCAGGATGTGCAAGGGAAGCGATGACAGCTGAGAACTGTTGTTAAGGATTTCTCATAGCAATGAGGTGGGATCTGTTCCATAAAAACACCATTTCCCAGTAACCCCAAAATACACTGCACTCCCTCTTTATACTGAATGGTCCAGCTATGCCTGGCTGTGGGGAGGGCTCAGGAAGGAACTTGAGGCTGTGGGATAAAAGCCTGCTGTTTCAGGCTTGGCTTTAGTTCCCTTTTTAAGGAATTTTATTTGGACTGCAGTGGGGCATCCGTTAGCCTGAGGAAGCAGGGGGGATGCATGTGTACATTACCCCAGACTACTTCTACACTTCTTAGTCAGCCTTAAGGAAGTTGACAGAGAGTTGGCAAACTCCATCAAACTTGTGTTTGGAGAAGAGGTGGCTCTGTGCAGCAGCCAGGCCTTGCTCCTACTCACAGCATGGAAATGCTTTGCTCCATACCTGTCTGAGCTCAGCTTTGAGATGCAAATTCCTAAGAAACAGCCTTAATTCACTCCCCTCTCTCCCCCAGCCTTCTTCAAATCCTACAAATATCTCCAAGCAGGGATTTCATCCCAGGCATCTTTTACAGGAACTGCCCATCCCGCTTCTAAACCCACCCACGCGCCGTGGATGGATTCCAGTTCCCAGAGCAGCTCATTTTATTAACACAGAACCAGGTTTTGGGGTTTTTCCAGTTGAAGGAAGGTGGAGCAAAAAAAAATTACTAGATAGGTTCTAAGCATGGAAATCTCAAGAGCCAAGGGTGTCTCCTCCTTGGAGGTTACTTGGATCATGGAAGGAGTAAAGGTGGGGTAACTTACTGTAAGAGAGGAGGAAGTTACTACTGAGGGCTGCTTTTACTACCCCTTGTCAGCTGTGTCAGCTGTCTGTGAGCTGTGATGAAGGGGGTGTGTCCACCAGTCCATAAATGCAATTTTTAACCTCCTTTCCTAAGAAAATTGGTTAAATCATGACTGCAGGGGGGGTGAAGAGGTTTCTGCAGGAGCAGGAGCCCATCAGGAGCAAATCCCAGCTAAACCTGCACCAAACATCTTCCATTGGAAGCAACGTTGTCCCAGTTGTGCTTCCTGTGGATGACACTGACAGAAAATTCAGGAGCACAGACCCAGCAGTGAGCAGAGTTACTGGACAGAAGACAGGAATCCACTTGAGGCAGTCTTCTCCAGGAGTCTTGCATGGAGGGAGCAGTGGTACAGAAAGGATACAATCTCTGATGTTCTTCCTTTCCATGGAGAAGGAGAAAACAAAGAGAAGAGAATATGTCTAAATCCAGAAACATTCTAACAATGGTATCTAAATTCTGGGAGGAATCTCTTTTTTCATCTCCCAGGAACATTTATTTCTTGGACTTCAGGTTCCAAAAATAACCTTTTCAAATAGATGAAGTCTCAAATAATTTGGGGAAAATCCCTTTTGGGAAAAGCCACTTTCATTGAGGAACTTTAGGCTCTTTCAAAGCCTGAAGGAAAGTGCACAGGCATTATCCAGAACTTGTTCATCCTGTCCTTTCCTAGCAGATGACACTTCATCCCCTCTAACTATGCAGGAAGGAGGTGAATATGGGATCCATTTGCTTGCAAATTGTGAGAAAGTTTGTGGAGAACACAGGGCTCCCAGGTTCCTCTAAATATCATCCTTCCAAATGTCATCTCTCCAAACCAGTTCCCTTCACAAAGTCATTCCACATCCAACCTCAGTGTGTTCTGACAGCCCACAGAAATCAAAGCAAGTATTCCCAATGATCCAACCAACACATTTCACTTTTATCCTTATTATTTTCTGCAAAAATCACATAAAATTCCCATGCAACAGGATGGCACCAACCTACTAAAGCACCTCTTGAGTTCCTCATTAATATTCTTGGCCTCTCTCAGACACATGAGGAATTGCACAGTTGGGATTTCTGTTCAATTGGGAGAGTAAAACCTGTGAAAGGCCATTTCATCTGTTTCTTCAGGGACAGCTCATCATTGTCACACCACCATCCTCATCCCCGGATTCCTGATCTCACTGTCCTCTTCACCTAAGAGTTTTATGCATTTAGGTCCAAATTAATTCCCCCTAACTCCAGGCAGCTAATTAAGGTGTCCAGTTTGGGAACACAGTGGGAACAGGCACATGATTTTAGGTGATTTATGTGTCCATGATCTGAAATGTCTCCTGGACCTGATCCTCTCCTCTCAGCTCTCTGTACAGGAACTGGGGGCTCCCAGCACTCATCCTGTCACTTGGGAGTGACAGGACAAGGGGGAACTGCTTTGATACTGGGAAGAATTCCTTCCCTGTGAGGGTGCTGAGGGCCTGGCACAGGGTGCCCAGGGAAGCTGTGGCTGCCCCATCCCTGGCAGTGTCCAGGGCCAGGCTGGATGGGGCTTGGAGAAGCCTGGGATAGTGGAAGTTGTCCCTGCCCATGGCAGGGGATGGATGAGCTTCAAGGTCTCTTCCAACCCACACCATTCCAGGATTCCATGATTCCATGTTCACTCAATATCCAGAACTACAGCTACACCACTGCTGCTGAATTGCATGATAGTCAAAGCCATGGAATTCCCACAGGGAACTCCGAGTGAATTCCCTCAGGGCAGTTCCCCATCTTTATACATGAACTCTTCTTTCCTTACTCCTTTCCCAGGAGAGGGCCTCCTGCAGCTGTTCCAGGCCGGGATGGCAGCCACAGTTCCTGAGGATGTGCTGCCTCCCTCAGAGCGAGCGGGACATTTCACAGGGATAAACCCTGAAACCCCAGAGCACGCCAGAGCCAAGAGGGATTATTAAACTGCCTGAATATATCATTTCAGTGCTTTACCCAACAAAATCTTGGTTATCTATCCAGCCTGGTGCTGATTTTAGAGTGAGTGACACTGAGAATGGGGATTTGAGGTGGAACATGGCCCATTTTCTAACAGAAAGGTTTAATTTTTAACATAAAACTTTATTAAAGGCAGCAGATGTGGTTAGCATCGCCCAGAGCACCTCATTGCACAGTCTTGGGATTAGGACTTTTTTATTATTAATTCAGCACAAATTCTCTCAGCCGTCTTTATCATCTCCAGCCAAAAATTTACATTTTTGGGAGTAAACTCTGACCTCGGTGAAAGACTTGAAAATTAATGATTTTGACCACACTAAGGATGAAATTTCCCCCCTCTGAATCCCAGCAGTTCCTAAACTGAAGCAAAGATCTGGATTTTCACGAGGCGTCTCTCGGCCTCAGGAAAGCGTCTTTCCCGAGGTCAAGATGCTCCCCAGCCCGCACATGCGCCAAGCCCCGGCTCGCGGCGCCACCGGGATCTCCCCAGCGTGTCGGGATTGTCGCGATATGCCAACAGGACTGGGCTCGACCTCGGCCCCGCCTCGCTCTAGTCGTGTCCCCCCGCGAGAGATCACCTCTAGCTCGGTGGGAGACGGCCCCCCCGGTGCCCCGGAAAGGGCTGTCGTGTCGCTGTCGTGTTGCTATCGCGACACCGCTCACCTCGGCTCGGCACCGCCATCTTGACGCCCCCGACCCGCCCGCCGGTCCTCCGCCGTCCCGGCAGCCCCCGCGCGGCCACTCGCCCCGCCCACCCGCCTTCGGGCACGATCGGAGCGTTCGGCCCGGTTCGGTCGCTTTCGGGCGCTGCCCGTTCGGGCGTCTCCGTTCGGGCCGGCGAGCGGAGCTCGGGCGCGATCGGAGAGGACTCGGCACACATCGGCGCTCCTCGCTACCGCCTTCGGCTGAGATCGGACACGGCTCGAGCGCGCTCGGAACTCTTCGCCTCGCCGGGCCGCACCGCTCGGGGACTCGGCCGCGTTCGGGCGGGCTCGGGTCTCACCCGATCCGTCAGGTACCGCTTCGGGCCGCGCCGCGCGGACTCGGCCGCGCCCCATTGGCCAGCCGGCAGGGAGCGCGCACGCCGGCCGCCTTCGCACGGGGCCCGAGCGGCTCGGGCCGCTTCGGGCCTCATCGGAACTCGGTCGAAAGGCCCCGAACACGCTCGTCAGCGGTCGGGCAGGCTCGGCTGCGCTCGGCTCGCCGGTCCCCCCTGCCCGCAGTACCCCCCTCAGGCGCGCCCGGGGGGGGAGGCGGAGCGGGCTCGGCCACCCCCGGTCCCGCGCATGGAGCAGCGCGACGGCGACTCGGCCGCCGGACAGCTCGATTTGCCCGCGGGACCGGGGCAGCAGCGGGAGCCACCGCAGGCAGCGGAGGGGGAGGCGGAGCCCGAGGAGCAGGAGGAGGCGGTAACGGTGATGGCGGCAGACGCCGAGCACATCGAGATGGGAGCACCGCCAATGCCAAGCGCCGATGAGGCCGCCGCCGCCGCTGCCTTCGCAGGTCAGGGCGGGCAGCGCTCCCTCAGCCCGCCCGGGGCTCCCCCAACCCGGGCTCCGGCCCCCACACAGCCCCCGGGGCTCGGGCTGGGACAGTGAGCTCCCTCAGGGAGCGCTCCCACCCCCTCGCCGAATCCCACACTCCGCCCCTTCACACACAGTAAAGAGCGGGAGGCGCCCGGTGCGCCTGGGCCACGGCCCCGTGTCCCCACAGCCCAGCGCCCCCAGTCACACAGCAGCGTCGTGCAGCCGAGCTGCGGTGCCACAGAGGCCAGAGCCCTTCGCCCGCCCCAGCGACTGTTGTTCCTTCACCCTCACCCACGTGGGAACCCAGAGATTTGAGCCAGGCCAAGCGCTGAACACCACAGAAACGCTGGGCTGTGCGGCTGTCAGCTCTTAACTGGGCGACCTGCACAGGTCATGGCACCGTGGGAATTAATACATGACAGAGGCAGAATCTGTTCAATTTCTCCTGATGTCTGCCTGTCACCCCTATTTAAATAAAAACACCACAGCTCGGAGTATTCCTAGTACAGATGCCATACTTATTTTTCCCTTAGTTCATCACACACTGATAGTGACTGCCCTGGTTTCATGAAGGTTAAAGCCTGTTGAACCCAAAGATTAATAGAAATAAGAATGATTGTGTTTATAACAACTTACAAGTGCAATGAAAAATAAAATTAATTTAGAAAGGAAAGAAGAAGGAATTTTTCAGATGTTCACCAGGCTCTCTGCATGAAGCAGAAAATTAAATTAATCCTGTTTTACATTCCAGAAGTCACCACAGTGACAGTAGCCAACGTGGGGGCCTCTGCAGACAATGTTTTCACCACATCTGTGGCCAATGCAGCTTCAATTTCAGGACACGTGTTGGTAAGTCTGTCCTTTCATTTGAGGGCCTTGCCAGTTTCTCAGTGTAAATGAAGAGCTGTACTAAGACTTGTTTTCATTGTAATATCCAGGCATTAAACTACAAAGCCATTAGCTGGGGGACATACAGGGGTTTTATTCCTAACTTTTTTACCTTTCCACCCCCACATATTTGTCTGGTAACAGAGCTGGTAACCTGGAACATGAAATCTTTGTATTTGCATCAGAGACTCAAAAATTAACCTAATAACTGCCATACTGATTGGAGTTTTGGGGTGCCTGTGAAATCTATTCATGTTGAAGTGTTTTAATCAATTTAAACTCTTTATTTCTTCTGCAGTCTGGGAGAACAGCCCTCCAAATTGGGGACAGCTTGAACCCTGAGAAAGCCACTCTGATAGTGGTGCACACAGATGGCAGCATCGTCGAAACCACCGGGATCAAGGGGCCTTCGGCACCTCTCACACCAGGTATTAGACAGTCTGCTTCTGGTGGGTCACTCTCCCAGAGGGATGGCTTCTACTGCACTCATCTTTCTGGAATCTAAAAATAGGTGCATAATTTTATAAGGGTGCTTTTCCCTCTTTTAAAAATTATAAAGTTGTTCAGATTGGAAAAGACTTTTAAGATATCAAGTCCTCACACAGTATTTTGTGTATTTCTTGGGAATGAAAGAATGCTTTTTTTGTTTTTGAATTTTTTTCCTGTCAGAAATGTGTTTAATTTCTTCATTCTTTGCCCTAACCCTGGCAAAGCAGCTGCTTGAAAAATCTTGCCCTGTTACCGGGCTTTCTACACCCATCCCGCCCCCAAGGGCACACAGATAATTTTAACATGGTTAATAAAAATCTGAGTCTCCCAGTTCTGCATGTGTTCTTTCCAAGGCTCCTGGCACACATTTTCATGTCCATTCAGGCTGATACTTTAGTGTCTCTGTCGCTGAGGTTTTGTTCAGGGCTGCCTGTCAGTTTCCTTGCTGCCCGTCAGTTTCCTTGCTGCCCACGAGATGGCACAGCAAACCTTCAGTGCTCCAAAGCTTCCCACTGGATGGGCTCTGGGAAGGGGAATCTCCAGCCAGCTCCTTACACCATAGCTTACACGTGGTGTAAGGATTGGGTCACAGTCTCAGTGTTTATTCCCTGTTAGAGCCTGTTTCCTCAGGTCCTCTTTGCTTAATTATCAGCCTTTCTCAGTTCGTTCAGGCTGAGCTTTTGGTGCTGCTTCATTGTGGGGGCGTTCCAGCTGCTCCAGTCAACCCCTTGGCATATCATCCAGCCGAGCATGGGATGGAACACCACTCTGCCTTTTGGTTCTTGACACCTTTCTTTGCTCTTTCCTCCAAGGACCACAGTCTCCTCCTACCCCTCTGACAGCCGTTCAGGGGAAAAGTGGAACCAAGTACAACTGGGACCCGTCTGTGTACGAGAATGAGCTCCCGGTGCGGTGCCGGAATATCAGCGGCATTCTGTACAAGAACAGGCTGGGCTCAGGTAACTGCCACCGGGCTGAAGGGTGGCACAGCTCCTTTTCTTCCTTCTCTACTCTTCTTTTAATCAGGCTGCTCTTAATGGCTGATCGTGACAGGAAAAAAAACCAAGAGAGTTTCCAAGACAGCCCAGAGTCTTTTGATTTTACTGTTCCCTTTTGTTTTGCTTTTTCTTCAGAGGGTTTTTAACTTTTTCTTAAACCTGCAAATATCCAGGCTGCCATGCAGTGAGTCTCCTCAGTAATAGGCTGACTCCTTTAATGATTTTTTTGTCTCATAAGTAGACTTGTGTTTTTGCAAAACTCTGAAGAATCCCTGCTGGAATGCAAATAGTTTTTTCTCTTCACGGGGCTTCTGAGCTCTTCCTCTTGTCTTTTATCCCTGTGGGGAAGCTGGGGAAGCTGCAGCAGAAATTGCCAGCCAGCCTGGCTGCCCAGTGCAGTGCTTGCTTTGTGGACAGAAAGTTTTCTTCTAAACCCACCACAAATACAAAAAAGATCAGAAATTTAAGTGCACATTGAGGAAAGACTTAAATTTGTGGTGTTTGTCCAATACAGACTTTTCTTTTTTGTGGAGGAGTAATTTTTACAGCCTTTTGAGACATAGAGTTGGAGCTCTGAACATGCCCATCATTGTCACACCCATGATAATAAATGGATGTAGTTACCCAAGAGCAATGGGCATGTTTAGTGGTTCTTACAGATGAACTGCTCTTTTGTCCAGCAATTTTCGTATTTTCTTCTTTAGAGAAGTGGCAGAATTATCCTTAACCTGGACTAACAGTGTATTTTGTTGCTTTACTTCAGGAGGCCGGGGCAGGTGCATTAAGCAAGGGGACAACTGGTACAGCCCCACGGAGTTCGAAGCCATGGCGGGGCGAGCCAGCAGCAAGGACTGGAAGAGGAGCATCCGCTACGCCGGGCGGCCCCTGCAGTGCCTTATCCACGTAAGGTTAAGTTTGCTCCCTCCTTTCTGCAGGAAGGGGCAGCTGGAGCCAGGGGCTGATGGCACCAGGAGCAGTGCTTGGTTTGGTTGAGGGGCAGTGAAGTAGGGGAATTGGTTTTGATATGTCTCAAATAGCACACTGGGAATCTCGTTTATACTGGGAAGAGTTTCTGCAGGGTGAAGCCCAGCCTTGAGCTATGCCACAGGAGTTGAGCTCTCACCTGTAATACTGTAATTCAGTAGCCGGATCTCCTTCAATGTCTGCCTGCGACGCATTCTTCATTTTCACCATTCATTATTTGAGTCTCCTGGAGAGCTTGGCATTGCCACTAGGCTGACAGTTGATTTCTGTTTGAGCAGAAATCAAGTCTCAAATTCATATATCCTGGCCTTTGGGTGTGGAAAAGGTTTGGTTTTCCTTTTCTCTCCTCTGACCCTCTCACCCCATTGCACTGGTGTGGGGAACTGGCCTCTCTGTTACTGTACAGCATCCAGGAGGGAATGGGTACCACTCTGGGAGCCATCCACATTTTTTAGCAGGATCAAGGTGTGCTCTGGGTGATTTTTGTGACTCTCGTGCTGAACTGGTGATCTCTGATTCCAGGATGGGATTTTAAATCCCCATGCTGCCTCGTGTACTTGTGCCGCTTGCTGTGACGACATGACCCTGGTGAGTGGGAGGCTTTACATCCATTACTTTAGGAACTAATTATTTTTGTTGGACAAATTAACCAGTCAAGCTGCCACAGCTCTTGGGTGAGCAGGTCATGAGTGTCCTGGGAATTGAGTGCCCTGACACATGAGTGTTCAGGGACAAGTGCTTTGTCCCTGCCCTGTGGAGAAAGGAGATGAGGAACTGCTGGCATTATTGCAGACCCTCAGTAAAAGTAGATCCTACTTAGTGCTTTTTTTCTTGTTTTTTCATTTTCTAATTAATATATCTATGCAAAATGCCTTTTGGGAATGTCAGTGCTATTCATGATTTTTGACTCAAATTTCACAATGTTTTGAGTTGGAAAAATATTTTTGTAAAGAAGTAACATTATAATCTTAATTTTCATTTTAAAACTACTTGGGCTTTTTGTTAGTTGATTAGGGGTTTGATTTTTTTGCTAGTTTGTTTCAAAAATGAGATTTAAATCCTGAAGCAGAAGACTTTAGCTTGACCTGGTGCTTTGCCTTTCTTTTCTGCTATGAACTGACTGATGTGCTTGTTTTCTAGCCTGGAACTCCTCCCTCTTTTTCTCTTTTCTTCCACCACCTTGGCCAGCAGCTGATTATCTGCCCAGTTCTACTCCTTAAATAATAGTGGGAAGATGTTGAATTTGTGACTCTTCAGCTGGAGGGAGCTGAGTTTAACTTTTCTTTTTTATTCAAAGTTCTTTTTGTTTGGAAAACTTTTAAGTGCTTTGGTCTATTGTTGCAAACCAGACATCATCCATGGGGATCTGTGCTGCTGTTCCTGGAAAGATGAGAGTAAAACCAAAGTCTCCAAAGAGGTGCCTTAGCTAATGCCTTTTCCTTTTTTCTTTTCATTGTCTTTCTTGTGTTTTTCTACCCAGAGTGGCCCTATACGACTCTTTGTGCCATATAAAAGGCGGAAAAAAGAAAATGAAATACCGGCAACTCCAGTGAAGAAGAATTGTTCCAAAAACATCACTCTGCTTCCAGCCACTGCTGCAACTACGTGTAGGTTCTTTTCTCCTGGTAAAAATTGCTTTTATTTATTGTCTCAGTGTCACTTCCTATTTTATAGGAAGTAGCACAGTGTTGCCACATCTGAACACAAGTTGAATAGGAAAAAGTGCAGCTCTAGACCTCCAGGAGACTCAGGTTTAAGCATTGTGACATCCTTGTGCCATGAACAGTAGGTTTCATATTTTGTGCTGAGAGAGGTTTGGGCTATGTCCTATGCCTGGAATTGTTCAAGGCCAGGTTGGATGGGGCTTGGAGCAGCCTGGTTTAGTAGAAGGTGCCCCTGCCCATGGTAGGGTGGTGGAAGGAGATGACCTTAAGGTCCCTTCCAAGCCCAAGCATTTCAGGATTCTGTGGTTATAGTTTATGATTATATTGCCCCCTGTACCTGCTCTCAGTGGGGTGACAATTATGGGATCCTGGCCTGGATCCTTAGTGAATTTCAGGTTGATTTTTCACAAATAACAACTGAGAAATTTCCTGTTGGAATTAGTTTTGGGAGAGGCTGGCCCTTCTCTGCTCTGCCAGAAATCCCTATTCCATCCTCTGAGCTTCTTTGTGTCCCTTAGAAGCTGGAGTAAGATTTGTGCTATTCCATGCAAAATAGCCTGGAAGCAGCTGGAATGAAATCCCCAGCCTGAAAGTCGTTAATGAAGGAGGCAGAAGGTGATGCTTTGATCTGCACATCCCTCTCCAACATTCAGCTTTGTCAGTTACTGGTTTGATTGGCAAATTATCTGTGTGAGAACAGGAATTAATTTGCAAGCTGATCCAGCTCACACATCCCCAGTCACATCCATATGTCCTCCTGCTCTCGGCACACTGGCATCATCTGCAGGTAACAGTACAAAGTGAGTCAAGGAGGAAGCAACAGAAATCTAAAAAAAACCCAAAAAAGTAAGATTAGATCATCAGCAACAGTAGGAGGAGAAACACACAAGGATTCTGCAGAGGTTTTTTTATGGCTTCGGTCTTTTTAGTCCCCAGATAGGTTGAATCTGTATTGGTTTGTTATGTGAGGTGCTGTGAGGCTGCTCGTTCTCTCATGCTGGCACTGGAAGAGAGAACCTCTTGTTTTGGTGGCCAAATACTTCAGCCAGGAATTTGTAGCTACGGTATTTTAAAATTTAATTATTGTGTACCACAGAATCAGACCATCACCAATTAACGGTACCAGTTAAATAATCCTCTTTAAAATGGGTTTTAAACATTCAGAAGCCACTCAGGTATAATTATCCAGAAGGATTTTGTGCCTTGTTCCTTTCATTGGCTGAGCATATTCTATCACTTTGTGTAGATAAACAGCTAAAATTGCCTAGCTGTCATGGAATGAGCTGTAATCCACAAGTTGTTGTGTTGATTTAAGTAGCAACAAACACTCTTGCTAAAATTGTCATAAAGCAGCCAGAAATTGATGGGGTGTGTGGCCTCACTGAATCTTTATGGGAAGTGTTAAGTTATGGTTCATAAAATAACTGAAAATGTGGAGATTTGGGAGATACTAGGTTGTAAATGAACGTTTTGGCCTCGTGCCCCCAGAGCCTTGGAAGGACAGCAGAGCCTTCAGAAACCCCTTGGGTTTTTTATTCCCTTTTCCAACTGCACTGGTCACAGGTGTGATCCAAACTGGGTTGTCCCAGGCTGGTGATCTGTGAGTCCCCTGAGCTTGGATGGTGCAGCACAGGGATAACAACAAACAGCTGGACAGGCATGTCCTCTGCACTGAGTGTTAATTATGAAAGTGCTTTAATGTTTCCAGTCACCGTGACTCCCTCTGGACAGATCACAACCTCCGGGGCGCTGACCTTCGACCGCGCCTCCACCGTGGAGGCCACAGCCATCATCTCAGAGAGCCCAGCACAGGGGGATGTTTTCACTGGAGCCACTGGTAAGAGCTCAGCTGTCTCCTAGACAGCCGTGGGGAGGAGGAATAGAGGTTTGGATGCCCACTGCTGTAGGAAGGAACATTTTGAATGCAACACAAAGGATTTATTTCTCAGAGGAGACACTGCCTAAGGCACTGTCTTTCCTGTGAGATCATTTCAGCAGTTTGAAATCTTAGCAGTTGCACCAAAGGAGAAGCTTTGCCCAGGTGTGGCAGCTGCTAATGTTCACCTCTGCTGAGTTCCTAGGATTTATGTTCATCTCTGTAATTTTTTTTTTTTTTTACTCCTCATTTAACCTAAAATACTACCAAAAAAACCCAAACTAGGTGAGGGTTGAAATTGAGTGAAAAATGCCAGGGTAAGTCAAACAAAATATAAATGCATTATAAACATTTTAGTTCTCTCAGTTTGAGTCATGCTTTGGGTTGTGAGCTCTTCTGGGGGAATGATCTTGCTCCAAGAATGAGAGTTTGGAGCCCTTTGATGATCATGGATATTTCAATATGTGGGATGGAACTAAGGAACCTGTGGCTCTAAAGGTGAAAGTAGAACATGGTCGCGCCAGGACCAGGATTCCTTGCTTGCTGACTGTGTGAGACCCTGCTGCTGTTTCACATTTTCAACCCTTGGGAATTACCACAGAGTGTAGGAACTTATCTAAAACATAAAAACATAGGGGTGAATGCAGTGTAAGGAACACCTGCCAGGTGTGTTAGTGATTCCAAGGCCCTTGTTCTCCTGCAGTTCAGGACACCAACGTCCAGCAGCCTTGCCGGGTGTCTCATCCAGAGCCTCACTATCCCAGTTACCAGGACAACTGCCAGATCTCACCTTTCCCTGAGGCTGCACTGCCAACGTCTCATCCCAAAATCGGTACGTTTGCTCTCCCTGTGCTTCAATTTCCTCCCATCTTTCTCAACAAAGGTAAAGATTGGGACTTTGCTCTATTTTGCTTGTGAGTTTTACAGATACTAAGATTTGGACAAACAGGTGTCCCCTTCATGGGAGATTTTTCACTCTTTATTGAGAGTGATTTGATTTATTGATTGTGCCAGAGGTGGCTGCTGTGATTCTGCATCATGAGTTGTCTTGCATTCCCTGCCGTTCCTAAAGTTTTTGCTTCCAGACTTTTGTCTCTTTGGGCACTGTGGCTGAACATTTATTTAGTGTTCGATCTGAGGAGAACAAACCCAATTAAAATCATGCCACAGAAGCTTTTCTAGACATCCCTTTACTCCGGTGATGCGTGCTGGGGGTACTTTTGACCAGGTTTAATGTCAGTTTTCAATCCCCTCTGTATGACCCTTATTTATTTCTTTGGAGTGGCACAGGATGTTCCTGGTCTCCAGAGTCAGATCTTCTTGTGTTTAAGACATAGTCAGATCTTGATGTTACTAATTAAACATTGATTGTTTTTTCACCAGTGAATACTTTCTCTTGTCTGATGTACTTGTGCCAAAATGAAGAATTGGAAGTAATTCCTGTTTGATACGTTATCAAATGCCAGACAGGGATAAATACTGTGTTGGAAATGGAGAGTGGGAAGGGCTCTTGTGCAAACAGACATGGATAAAAAGGACTGGTTTATCTCGTACTCATATCTATGCGCAAATAGTTCCATGCCACTCATGTGCAAGTTCATTAAAATTACTGTTTTAATTAAGGGTGTTTTGAGGTAAGAAGTCTGCACAACCCTGAGGCTGGTGGTACCTTCTTTGTACCAGTAAAGAATTCAGTGAGGAATGTCGAGGTCAGTGTTGGTAGATGTGAATGTCTTGGACTGAATTTTATGGCAGATGGTGAGTATTTATTGCTAGAATTACATTTTGGAAAAGGAAAGCCAGATAACATTTCTTCCTGGAATGTTACCTAAGCTGAGCTTATACTGTGTGTGATGGAGTTCCTGGGTCTGGATTTAATTTTATTAAATTAAATACCCTGATCTCCCAGTGTACACACAAACCTAATGTGAAAGTAACTGGTTCAGTGACACACTAACTGCTGGGTTATTAAAGAACTTCCCAGCCCATTGTTTTGGGAAGTCCATGTTTGGAATACACTCACTTGGAGGTAATGGTGACTGTCTGGGGTTAAGTTCACTGTCTGGCCAGGGTTATGTAAAGGTCAGATTTCAGGAAGCACAGAGAGCGTGATGTGGATCAGTACTTGAGTTTTGTGGTTTGCAACCTGAGAATTGACATCTGGGTAGGATCATCAGGATGTTTCTGTAAAGTATTGGGTCACTGAGTGACTTACTCTGACCTTACCTAGCCATGGCTGCAGGAGATGTTGGCAGTGGTGGAGGAGTTCCTGGGAATGCTGCTTTCACTGCATCATGGTGCTTCTCCACAGCAGTGCTGCGAGGTGTTAAACTCTTCCTAGGGTCATCCACGTCAAGAGGAGGCATTCCTGTCCCATGGGCTTGTTCTGCACAGATGTGCACTTGATGTTGCAGAAGGAACAATCTGTTTAACAAACACTTTCCTGGCTGGAAATTCTGCAAACCACATTTTAAAAAAGAAACCACCACAGAAAAACCACAGAAACCAACACCCTGCCACCACCACCGCTTCATGGAAATGAAACACCCTAACTGTCTGTATATTCTCTTTTGTTCCTCATGTCCAGTGTTGACGTCTCTGCCTGCCCTGGCAGTGCCCCCCCCGACGCCCACCAAAGCCATGTCGCCGTCGGTGGTGAACGGGCTGGAGGTGACGGAGCAGCGCAGCTGGCTCTACCTGGAGGAGATGGTCAATTCCCTGCTCAGCACAGCACAGCAGCTGAAGACTCTGATTGAGCAGGCCAAGCAGGCCAGCTCCTCCTTCCGTGAGGCTGCTGTCACACAGGCCAAGATCCAGGCTGATGTGGAGAGGAAAGAGGTAACTGTGCCACAGCGGCTCAGCCATGGGCACCTTTGGGGCTGAGTGGTGAGCAGAGTAGTTTCTGGCTGGAACAGTGATACTGGAAATTGTTTCTCCAAGCCTTGGAAGCAATGCTAGCGAGAGAAATCTTCGGAAGTTATTTGTATCCTGGGGAAAGGAATAAAGTTCTCTGGGATTCCAGGAGCTGTGGGCAGCAGGCTGGTTGTACAGACTGTTTGGTGTCACGATCCTGAGCTCTCCCATCAGCTGTGCATAAAGTTATGGGATGTGGGCACTGAGTCCTGATCTGAGGAATCTGGTGAGTGTTCAGCAGTGCAGTGGCTGCTGTCAGGTGAGCTGGGTTTTCAATAGGATATGTGGAACAGCTTAATACAGAGTTTATGGGGAAGTGTTCTGTCCCAAGGTAAAAGAGGGAGTTGGGGAGGATTCTTTTTGATAGATTTCTCAGATGAAAATAAAGCACAAATGCGGCAATATTATATCTGAATATAAAGAAGGCGTCCTACTGAAGGGGCATAGAAAAGAGAGCAGCGAGGAGAAAAGAGAGACAGAGAAAGAAACAGAAGACAGGGACAGCGTTACCGCAAGCACGCCGGTGCTCGGTCAGCGCCAGCTCAGCAGGCGGAGCGTGCGTGTTGCAAGGCGCGGCGAGACCCCGCGGCTTTTGTCGGTGCTCGGGCGCAATCTTCTCACGGCAGCAGCAGCAGCGCGTTCCCGGCGGCGGATGCGGGCTCTTGGTGGCCGCAGGCGGCAGCTGCGGGCTTGTCGGGGTGCAGGCGGTGACGCCAGGCTGGTGGCTGCGGGCTGAGCGCTGTGGCGGGGCGGGCAGCGCACAAACACCGCGGCGGCGGTCGCGGCTGGGTGCAGGCGGCTGCAGCTGCGCCTGGGAAGCGCGGTGGAGGCAGCCGGCTGCGGCGGCACCCGCTCCCGCTCCGTCGGGGAAGCAGCGGAGCACAAGGTCGTGGCGGCAATGAGCTGGTTGGCAGGAGCAGGGCAAAGCAGGTAGCGGCAGGGAAGCAGGACAACAGGAAGGAAAAGGTGAGGGGGAAGAAGGACCAAGATGACTCTCCCAGCGAGCCTCTGATGCCTCCAAGAAACCCAAAGCAAAAGGTCTCGCCGTTTTGTTCACAGTTAGCCACTTTTGTGTGCTAAGGCTCCTTCCACAGCCCGATTGTACGGACATTCTTCATGGGAATCCGAGCCTTTGCCCTACCGGCAAGTGGGGCGGGTCGCTGACAGCCTGATCATGGAAGTTTTTTCGGCCCTGATTGGCTGCCTGGCAAAGCCCTTGCAGGAGCAGGGTTACCAATACATGTACAGACGTGTATACCTTACAGGAATTCTTCACCTCATGTGTAACATACGTCAAACCATAAATAAAAATCAGATTGATCCCTCTCGGGAAGATAAGCAGTAAAGTTTAGAGGTGTTTTGCTGAGAACTGTGCAAGCAAAGCTGACTCATGAGCCCTGGTGGTAGGACTGGCAGGCTGCCTGGCCTCTCAGGAGCCCTGACTGGTTCCCATCTTCTCTCTCTTGTGGACAGGGATTATCCACAAGGACTGCCCTCTTCTCCCTCCTCTTCTTCTTTGTAACCGATGCATGGTAGGGATCTCGGATCCTTCTGACCACCAGTTCATGCATGCACCCAAGTATAGCTTCATCCTGAAGGTGCTGTCCCTCTCCCACAGATCCACAGCTGGTGTGAACCAGGGAGAGAGAGGTGGGGGGCAGTGTTGGAACTGGTGTCACCAACAGCAGCTCCTGAATTCCCTTCCCAAACAGCACTTTCCTGCTGGTGCCATCAGCATTGTGCTAACATCAGCTTTCTACTGAATCCATAGGCATGAGTGTGCAGCAACAGGCCTGGAAGAGAGGTGTGGGAAGACTTTGCTGGAGCTGAGGACCCCTAGGACAGTCCTTGCAGCCTCTTTGATATTCTTTGCCATGTTGGCTCTGCTAACCTCTCCCATATGATGCATCTTTGATATGCAGGTGTGTGATATACTGGGAGTCTAATCCTTCCCTGCCTCCCTCCTGTAGAACAGGTGCTGGTGCTGCTGCCCAGCTGGGCTGGCTGCTGCTGGAAAACTGCACAGTGTGGGACACTGAAATATTGGAAGCTTTGGCACAGTTGAGTGATAAACATCTGCTTTTGTTTAGCTTCACTCTGCCTTTTCTTTCCAGTCTATGTGCATCTTCCCTTCTGTTTATCCTCACAGTGGTTTCTGGAATGGTTATTCAGTCCCTTCTCCACACCCTCTGATCCAAAACCAGCTCTCTTTAATGTTCTTCTACTTACTTCTTGTCCTGGGAATGGGAGTTAGAATCCCTCCTTTGTACAGATTAAATCTGACTTGACATGGGAAGGATGAGCACGTGATTTCCAGAGAAAACCCCTTTCCCAGGAACTGCTGCATGCCCAGTTACACCACTTGTGTCTCACCATTCTCACTGTGTAATGGGGACCACCACACTTGTGCACTGTGGTGAAACCACAATACTCACGCTGATATTTTTTATCATCCAGACAATTCTAAGCTGTGCTGGCTGCTGGAACCATCCAGACAGTACCACAAGTACCTGTCTCTGAATTAATTCCTGCTTGTGAATTCCATATATGGACAAAACTCTGTGTTCCTGGAATACAGGGAAGCAATTACACTAAAGGTCAAAAAATTGGCTCTGCTTTTGTATTGGTCAAAGGGTCTTTCCCAATTTCCTAGTGGTTTGTGACTCAGTTTCCCACTCTGAGTATGTGTGTGGTCCCGTGGCTTTTTTGGGCACTTAAGGTATATGAGAAGCAGAGAGGCTTTCATGGCCTTCAGGTAGGGGATTTTTTACAAAGGAAATTGGTGCTTAATTAGCACTTAGTTTGTTCTTCCACTGATAGAACTTCCAAGGGTGAGCAAACAGGGGGAGCCTTTCCTGGTGGTGTCCTTGTGTCAGAGCTGCAGAGTGAGGCTGGGCTACAGATGAGATGATAACAGAGCTGCAGACTCAGCTCTTCCTGGAAAAGTGACTTAGTACAGAGCAGTATTGTAGAGATCTGATAGAAACAAGCTGGTTCCCAACTGGATACACAAACTCAGGTGCCTCGTTGTATGCTACAAACTCACTTTAGTGTGTTTCAGCATTGTATTTATTATTTAATGAGCTTTCTAGTCATTAAATAGCACAAATGAGCTGTCCTGCTCCCATAGAGCAGCAGTTAGGTTGCCTTAGCTTTAAATAGCAGGAGCTGTGCTCTGTGCTGGGCAGTGTCAGTGGCTGTGGGACTCACACAGCTCTGAAGTGTGTCTGATGTCAGGGGTTTGCACTCTGCCTCCCTCCTTGTGCCATCTCAGCCCTGTGTTAGGGGCTGGGAACATCCTTATCCCTTTTGAAGGAACTGTTCCAAATGCTGGAGATAAAGGCTTCACCAGCAGGGAAGTTTTTTAGCACATAATTTAGTATTTTGGCAGTTCTGACATGCACTCAGTTGCTTTCTTTGTACTTCTTAATTTCTGTAAATTTGTTCAAGGGTCATGGTTTGTTGAGCAAATTTCAAGCCTGAGGATCTCCTTCAAATTTTGTTTCCATCTTTCCCACAAGTCATCTTGATGTCCCTGGGTAAGTCCTTGGCCTCACTGTGCCTCAGATGAAAATAACACTTCCTTCCCAGAGAACTCATGTGCAAGTTTGCAAAGTGTTAGGAGTCGCTGAGTAAGGTTACATTTGTGTTACTTAGAAGTCCTGGGGAATGATATCCCAAAAGAAAAGTAAACCAGGAGCCCTCCAGCCCCATGTTTATATGAACTTCCAAAATGCGTCATGATATTGCAAAAAATGGAAATATGGAGAGATTTATAAGGTTTTTCTGAATTGCAGCATTTTGTGTGGGATTAGTTAAATACAACTGCTCTGGTTGGATTTCATGTGGCTGTTAAGAAACAGTTCTGGAGTATAATTAGTAATTAGGTTGTGGTTGAGTATCTGATCCCCTGGTTAATATCTCCATGTAGGCTTTACTGCATTTTTTGGTAGGGGAAAGACATCTGGGAATTTAGGGTGAGTGGAGTAACAAAGGCTCAGTGTCTCTTGCAATAGATATTTGACATTTGCAGATCAGGCCCAAAATGAAGAGATTAAAGGCAGGACTGACATGTTGGTGTTCTTGGGCAATGTAATTTTTCTGAGTGTGCATTAATCCAATGTTTATATCAGATAAACTTTAGGATGGGGATATTACACATACTCACTAAATTCTGTACCAGAATTGCTAGGGAATAATAAAGAGATTCAGGAAATGCATTAATTGTATTTTCTGTACAAGTTGAAGAAAATGAGTGTTGAAATCCCACAAATGTTTTAATTGGAATAGCCCTCTGTAAAGCAGAGATGCTTCTGGAGCCCTGCCCATTTGAAAGCAAGTGGAAAATTAAATCAGCAAACAGCTGGGGCATCTGAATGCTTTTTAAGAAAGATTAAACCAATTCAGGGCTGGAGAGTATGAAATTAATCTAAAAAGGGTTGGACAGTTAAGAAATATGGCTCTGGTCAGCAGACAGTGGCTTGTGTACTCCAAACTAGCAGTGATACTCTTGGGAATTGGAGATTCTGGATTTTGTGGAGCTGTTTCTGTGAGAGATCTGAATGTGTCTGGCTTGTTCCTCTCTCTTATCACACCTTTTCCTTCTCCATGGTTTGTGCATGGCTGGAATTGCCTTGTCAAATAGGACAAAACCAAATCACACCCCTGGCAGGCCACAGCAAGAGGCTTCTCTGCCTTCACCTCCATCTGCCTGGAGTTTTTAAATTTATTTTCTGTCACGGTAATATCAAGGTTTTGAAGGTTGTGGTTTCACAGGAGAATAAATACTGTGCTCTCAGGTCATACACTTGTAAATTAAGCCTTTAATCTCCTTATGTGTTGAGTCAACTCCTGGATGAACCTGCTTGGCCTGGAGGAAGGGATTCAGCTTTTTTGGACTTTTTAACTGTTCCAAATACATTTAAGCCAGGGTTAGCACATAATTTATTTGGGATTGAGTTTGGATGCCATTAGTTTGGGACTTCTGTCCCTCAGTGCTGAGTGTGTTGCAGCTGCAACAGGTACAGCAGCACCTGGCTGGGCTTGAGTTGGTGTGAAGTGATTCTGCCAGGAAGTCAAGGTGGGCTGAGAACATCACCTCCAGAGGACTCATGGAGTCACAACTTGTTCTACAGCCCTCCCACTCTTCTGTTTCAAGGAGGAGTAATGATTATGGTTAGTGCTGCTTCTAAAGTCTAAGGTGTGTTAATTTTGTTTGGCTTTTCTTTTCCTCCTAATCCTTTTTGGTGGTCTGTACCTTCCTTCCAGACTCCTTTGCCTCTTTGTGAATTAGGATCACTGGACTTGACCCAAAATTTGGCCCCAGAATGTGCCACTTGGCCCTGTTACCTTGGTGTTTTCCTCATGTTTCTTGTGCTTGTTTCCCAGTTGCCACGTGTGGGGGAGTTGCAGTTAAACCCCCCAGTTTAAGGACAAGTGTGTGGCTGGATGGAGTGGGGAGCTGGGCTTGGAGGCAATGCCGTACTGAACTGGCAGTTTGTCACCTCAGGCCGTTTTTTCACAGGCTCCTTGCCCTGTCTCTGCATCAGGTGACAGTGTCCCTCTCCTAGAAGTGAGCAGTGAGGGGCCACCCTGTCCTGTTGCAACTGCAGCCTGGGGCTGGGCAGACACAGCTCAGCACAGGGACCCTCCATCCCAGCACCCTTTCCAACCACTCACATCATGCTCTGGCTGGGAAATGACATGTTTGGTGTGTTCTCCTTGCAGCAATACCAGAGCCAGTTATTCCAACAAACAGAGGATGTGGATGGGAAGACAGAAATCATCATCAAGGTAGGCAGAGGATGTCTCATGTTGTGAAGAGCCTTTTGGTCTTTGCCTTATTCCATTTAAAGACTTGGAGGTTTTGTCATTGCTGTGGAATCCTGTGCTCTGTGTCTGGCCTTCTGACAAAGGATCTGAGCCCTTCCCTCCCTTGGCCAGTGCACCAAGCAGTGTCTCCCCTTTCCCAAGCATTCCAGTTTTCTGTGCTCCTTCACCTGGCCAGGTTCATCAGTCTCCCTCTCCTCTGAGTGGTGGTGCTGCAGCTCTGGTGGGTGGCTGTCACAGAGCTGTGACAGGAAGAGAATTTGCTTCCTTTCTGTTCTGTGAGCTGGTTTTCATAACTCCACAATTTCCTCTGGTACTTGGAATGGGAGTTAGTTCTGGACCCATGACTGAAGCCCTTAGAGCTGTGTTGCTCAGTTCTCTTTCAAATCTGCAGGTACAACCATGCCCCATGTACTTTCCACATTTTCCAGCTACAAACAGCCCCAGTCAAGTGTCCCATCAGGGCAGGCTTTGCAAGTCCCAAATCACAGCTTTAGGCCATTTTTGGTGTCCCAAATCCACAGCTGCACATCAGGAGCACAAACACAGTTCAGTGTCACCAGCTGTTCACTGCAGGTACATGGAAAGGTGTGAAAGAGGCTATTAATCAGAGCACTGATTTCTGGGGTGGTTTTGCTCAAAGAGAGAAGAAGCCTAGAGGAACTGATGAGCCCACAAAACTTTCACAGCCCAGCAACACCTCTTGTCACTGCTGCTGACGTGCTAATGATTTGTCAGGCGTTTAATGAACTGGAAGTGGAATGCTCTGTGAAGTGCTTATTTAGGTGGCAGTTCAGTGATGTTTCCACCTAAATATACAGGTTATGTTAATTGATGTCATCAAAATAAGATTAAAGCGATAGACACAAAAACATCTCTTAAAAAGGAGGTGTGATTTTTCACCTGTGTATCCTATCTCACCTTGCTTCTGGATTTAAATCCTGGGCTTCTGTTAGAACCTTCTTAATTTGACTCCTGTTTCCCTCTTGGTACACTCCTTATGTAGTCATGACTGGGAAGGGACCAAGGAACATATCCCACAGGAGCAGATGCCTTTTTCCTCCCTAAAACTGGGGGGAAATATCTGAAGGGTCCCATCTGTATTCTTAGTCTGTTGTCCTTCCTCAGACCTTCTCTTAGATATACACAGGACTATAAACCCAACAAAACCACCAATGAAATCTGCCTTTAAACCTTTAAATTTGGGATAACCTCAGAGCTTGTGTGTCCACAGCCTGACATGTCTGGGTGGGAGACACCCGACTCCTGTAGTTACCTGACTGCTGGATACTGGACCTATCTGGAGGGAGGTTTCCCTGGGGTGGTGGGGATGGGTTTCCATGACCACTCAGTGTCCACACAGTTTTGGAGGGCTTCCTGCCCAACAGAAAGAAAACCAGGTGCATTTCATTTTCCAAATGAAATTTCATTTCCTGCTGAAAGAGCAAGGAGAGTGGGTCTCTGAGGGTGTATCCAGAGGCGACTGGGCCTCTTTGTTGTGGGTTGTGTGCTGAGGCTATTTTGGGAAATGGGAGCTTTCCCACTGCTCTGGCATTCCAGCCATCACAGCACTGCTGTTGCACCTTGGTGATGCCCCTGGTTTGTCTCTGTGTGACTTGTCCCTCTCCATCCCTTCCCTCAGCAATCCTGCGTCAACTGCGGACGGGAGGCCACCAATGAGTGCACAGGATGCCACAAAGTCAACTACTGCTCCACGTTCTGCCAGCGGAAGGTATCAGCCTGCTTGTGACTTGGGATTCAGTTCCCCAGAGGGGGCTGTGTGACCCTGGGGACAGCCAGGCTGCTTGGGCTGTCACCTGATGGCTGTCAGTACGGAGGGAGGAACAGACAGCAGAGCCAGGCAGTCAGAACAGAGCCTTGCATGGGTTAAGCACTCCAAACCCACCCTGCCAGTGGGATCACCAACAAGGCTGTAGTGATGGGGCAGGTCTGCAAGTCAGGACAGGGTTAAAAGGGTAGAGAAGGTCCCCAGGTTTGCACACACCTTCCAAAAGGTGACCCAAAAAATCCAAGTGACACTAGAAATGAAGCATGGACACCTCACTGGGAACTGTGGGGAGCACTTTTACAGCCCCTTCATGCTGCTTCCTTCCCTGCTGCTCCTGCCGTGGCACTGAGGACATAGTTCTCCTTTCCATTACTTGTGATGCTGCAGGTGGTACAGTGGGACAGATTCTACAATTGTGAACTTGGGAGGTGGGAACAGTGTGAAGTACAGTGGAGGAAGCTGTTGTGTGTCATGTTTCACACCAGTTCCTTACAGTGACCCTTGGCCCTTGCTTGGAGTGAAGGATGCTTCAGTTTAGCCATTACAGTTCTGTTGGGTGGCCAGATTCAGGCTGAGTCAAGCTGTCCTGAATTCCAGAAGGAGTTCCTGAATTCCAGTGTTAGTTCCAGAAGGAATCTGTTCCTGTCCTAGCTGAGCTAAGATCCCAGCACAGTGCTGTCCCTCGGGAGCACTCAGTGTTGAGAGCTGCCTTTCAGGAGAGGCTTTAAGTCGAGGTTCTGACTCAGTTTTAGTAAATTTTCCATCTGACTGACACTGATATCCTGGATTGTGGTTGTATGGAGATGGCAGCATTCTGCTTAGTCCGATTCCACCTCTTACATTGATCCAGTGCATGGCTCCTTTGTCCTCCATCATTGGTCTGGTTTGTGGAGAGAGAGTGCTTCTCACACAGGAAGGGCCCTTCTCCAAGGGCCTGTTCTGCTCACAGCCTTTCTCTCTGCTCTCCCCTGGCAGGACTGGAAGGACCACCAGCACATCTGTGGCCAGTCAGCCACGGTGACGGTGCAAGGGGACGAGGTGCACGTCCCGGACAATGTCATGGAGAAGGTCACCGTGTGAGGGCGCTACCTCCGCAGCCGTTCATGGACACGCGGGGCCGGCTGGATCGGCGACCGGCGGGAACGGTCTGTCCTGTGCCAACAGCACTCTTCTCACTAGCAGACTCATTTTTCATTGATTTTTTGATACTGTGACAGCACTTGTCTATTCCCAATCCCCTTCTAAAGCTTTGGATAATACAGAGACTGTGAAAACCTCATCTGGAATCCTCTCCCTTCCGTCCCAGCCCCGACTGGCTTTGGGAGGCTTTGCCTTTGCCTGACTGGATCCTCCACCATGTGGATTACAGCAGTCTCCTCATCTCTCTTGAGATGGATCTGAAGCAGGTGCTGCAAGGAGATCTGCCAATGCTTCCTCCTACTGGGGCCTCCCCTACCTCTCATTAGAGAAGAAAAACAAATCTTTGGCTGGTTTATTTAATTGCCTTGACAAAGTCGGTACAAGTTCTTAGTTTGGCATGGAAAGGATTTTTGGGTTTCCCGTGTTCCCTCTGTGCTGGGCAAATCTGGAACACATTGGACTTCTCTACTTAAATATAGTTGAAAAATAACATGTTGTTAAATAAAATGTGCTGAAAGCACAAGTCTACCCAGTGGTTCCCCTTCATTCCCCGGGCAGCACTTTGTGGTACAGGTAACTGCTCAGGTGAGTGCACCAACAGCTGCATGTGTGTCTGTACTCCCTGTCTACCTGGGAGGTATTTTCTCCACAGGGAAGCGCAGCTTCATTCCACAGCATGCCTGGAATGTCACTCATAGCATTCAGCTGGCCAGAATCAGATGGGATCAAGCCCAAGGTGAGCACAGGTGGATATATGGGGCTGTCCTGTCTCTGCCCTGTAAGAGCTGCTAATTAGAGATGTGCTGACCATTAGGAAATTACTGGCTTTGTTCACTTTCAACAAATTAATTTTAATTAATAATCTACTATTTTAATTGTTAAATTAATCCTTTATTTGTTAATTAAGTTAAACCTTTGTTTGTGGTTGGAGATTTCAGAGGAGTTTTGACAAGTGCACAAGCCTCTGGTTGTTTGGTTGGGTTTGTTCTTAGCTCCAGGCATAGCCCCCATTAGGGGTCACAACCCCTATGAAGGGTCACTATTGTTTGCTCTGGTTGAGGGGTCACAGTCCCTGTGAGAGGTCACTTGTCCTGGCTCTTGTTTGCTCCAGTTTGGTGATGGTGGATGAGGATGGCTGTTCAGTTCCTGCTCCAGGCAGGGTCACCTGAACCACAGAGTGACCCAACCTAACATCACACACGCTGTCAAACCGAAAATTCTATCCTAACTTACAAGAAACTTAAAAAGAGAGAAAAATGCCATGGAAAAGACTCAAAGGTGAACTCCAGGGAAAAGACTAGAGGTTTCTGACAAATCTATTCCTTCCACTTTGCATCTTAAAGGTCTGCTAGGTTGCATTCCATATGTTCCAAGGCAGTAGGAGCTGGTTTTCTGTGTCTCAGTGGTGTCTCTCAGAAGTGCCCTCGGTGGGTTTGCCAGCGGCACCAGCTCCTGAGGGGCATTGGTCCTCATTCTCCCATGGAGGGAGGTGACAGGGCTCCCACAGTCGGTGGCAGGTGGTGAGTGTTACTTCCTGGCTGTTTCCTGGGAAAGTTATTCCTCTTAGGGCTGAGCAGGCCCAGGGGGCAGCAGTGCAGTGCCATAGAGGATGAGGAGCTGGTGGCCACAGTGTGCAGCTCTTCCAGAAGGAACCATGCTTACAACGAAATCCAAGCAGGAACTGAGGCAGGATGGGAACAGAAATTATCTGTGATACTCCACAGGCAACTCCTTCCATTCCCATAGCAAAATGCTCACTCCTGCTTTCCAAAGTAATACTTGAGTGTTGGGAATGGTTTCTGCTCACAGTTAAATGCTGATTGCCCATTGTCTAGAACTTGGAGACAATTAGTTAATTGAGAAGACAGTCTTGATTGAGCCCACAATAACACAGCTCATTTACAGGGTTTCTTGCCTCCTGCATTCAGATGCAGCAAAGGCAGCTCTGAAACAGCACCTCTGAAAAGCCCATGGTGCCCTGATACCTGGAGCAGCTGTGCTCCAACCCATCATGTGACAGCTCAGAAAAGCACAATACAGTCGTGGGAATTGAGTCTGTTTGCTGGTGAGAAATTGAGCACTTGCTATTTTTAGTCAAAGGAATGCTCTAGACATCCCCTTTCCGTTCTGCTTCCAAGCAAATTCCCTCCTGGAAAGCAACAATTCTGTACAAAATCATTACCTGGAAGACTGTAATTTTCTGCAGTATTCTTTTTCTCCCCTCTGAGCCTCAGTGACGAGCATCACCTGTCCCACTGGCCACTGTGGCTGTCGCTGCATGCAGGTTCACCTAAAGGTATGAAGGACATTTTCCTGAGGCTGGAAATGGTTCCTGGCAGGAATTGTGTGGCTTCACAGGAAATTCTGGAGCACTAGCAATAACATTATGGTGCCTTTGTAAGACCTTTGTTAAACATGAGTGAAATCAGGTTTTGGGTTTAAAATTATCAAGGATAAGGGGAAAGGAGATTGCATAGGTAGATTCACCCTCACCTGGCATATGGACATCTGGAAATGAGCTTTGTAACCTTGTCTGATATGTGGACATCTGGGAAATGAGCTTAACAGCCTTTTTTCCCCCCAGGCCCATGTCCATGTTACCTTACAGCCCTGTTAATACCACCCCAGAAGCCAGAAGATTAGAAATTACAATTATTATCCCTGCTTACATCAAACAGCAAGTGTTTAAGAAGAGGCTACACTTGGCAGTTCCACTGGGAAGAGGATTCAAGCTGCATCCAATGGCCCTCACCTGTAACACCTTACTACAAGGACTTGGGGAGCCCCTTCCTTCAGCTGCCAGCTCTCCTTATCCTCCCCTCATCCCCAACAAAGACAGCAGACCAGAGGCAGAAATAGATCTTTAATGAACTATACAAAAAAATGACCCAGTGGTTCCTCCTGCGCAGAGGGCTCAGCAGAAGAGGTGCAAGACTTTGCGGAAGAAGTTCCTGAACTCGGCGTTGAACACGGTGTAAATGATGGGGTTGAGAGCACTGTTGACGTAGCCCAGCCAAGTGACAGTGCTGGTGACTTGAGGGGGGATGGAGCAGGACTTGCAGAGTGCCCTGGTAATGTGCACCACAAAAAAAGGTGTCCAGCAGAAGAGGAAAGCACCTGCCAGGAGGACAATAAAGAGAGAAGGTGATATGAATGTTCAAAAGGGTTTAATCTAACAAAGTCTGAGACAAAAAAGACAGACACAGCTTGGGCACTCAGGGAAAAGGCAGTAGTTGTGCTGACATGTGGAGCTGGGCTTATGCCCTCACAAAAAATTGGGATGTTATTCCTGTCCTAAACATTCATAAAAAGTCTTAAGTTAGTCTCGCTTTGGCTTTGAATGTAAGATATTGGGAGTCACAAGTTTGCCTTGGAGGGAGGTTGCGTTATAGACAATGCATGTGTTCTTTCCCAAGGGTTTGGCACTGCTCTGGATTCACCCAGGTCCTGCCAGTCTGAGTGCTGTGGTGTGACAAGGTGGCACATTTCCCACTCTCCCCAGCCATCCCTGACATCCACTCACCGACAACGACGGGCAGCACCCGCATGGCCTTGCGCTCCCGGCCGTTGATCTTGGCCCGCTTGCGCCCGTGCCCTGGATGCGGGTACCTGAGGTGTGGGTAGGACACAGTCTGGATCCCACTGTTCATCCCACACTCCCCAGGGAGGCCAGCACGGGCATAGGGGCTGCACTCCAGCAGCCCCAGCCGGGTCTGCTCTCTCTCCATCAAGGTTGGGGGGTGATACAGCTTCCTGTTGGCTCCGTAGATGCAGCCTCTCAGCTTGGCCTTCCGGGCTTCTTCCCAGCGCTTGAGTCCTTGGAACATGCCACAGTACAGAACCAGCATGACAGGGCATGGGATGAAGAAGGAGCAGATGGAGGAATACACGATGTAGTTGTCATCCTCCAGTTGGCACAAGCTGGGGTCCCGGTCTGGGACATTGTTGAGGCCAAATATGACTGGGGATGCCACAGCAAAGGCGAATATCCAGGTGGTGGATATAAGGATCAGCTGCCGCAGGTCGATCTGCCGCCGGTTGTAGTTGAGTGGGATTTGAACAGCGATGAACCTGCCAACACAGCCCTGGGTGAGTCAGTCCTGGTGTGGTGGCATCGTGAGAATGTAACCAAGGGACCCCAAACTCCTTGCCACTGTCCTTCCCCCCATTAATTTACTTTACTAACAGCCGAGGCCTGGGCTACAGCCACAACAGCCAAGGGACAGCTCTGGATCATCACACAAGTTTATCTTGGCCACCACCAATGGGACACAAACCTGATGGTGGAGGATGTTAGGGCAGAACAGCCTCCTTAGGGGAGGGCAGAATCCTCCCTGCCTGGGACACTGGCAAGGGGGCTATGGAAGCAGTGTGCTGCCCAGGCACAGCCAGAGCAGGAAGCCACTCACCGATCCACGCTGATAGCACACAGGTTGAAGATGGAGGCCGTGCACAGCATCACGTCCATGGTCATCAGGGCATCGCACAGCACCGTGCTGAGGGACCACACTCCTCCCTGGAACTGAAAAGATCCCTGGGGTCAGCAGATGCTATGTCCTTTAAAATGACAGGAACACGGCCATGCCTGGGTGCCTCAGCCACTCATGTTTGCTCCAAACAAGCAGCCCAAAGCTGAGTGCTCCTCCCATAGCACGATGCTCCCAGTGCAGCAGCAGCTATTGGGAATCAGACCCACACAGAGCCCACAGCCTGCTCAGGGCTTGTGATTCTGGCCTGTCTGGAGAACTGAGCCCTCAGACCATCATCACAGCCAAGTGAGTCATGCTGGGCAGAGAAATGGACACAGGATGTTGCACTTCCTTGGATGAGGTCATGTACCCCCAAACTCCTCAAACCCCCAATTCAAGACCCCAAGATCTCCCCAACAAAGCAATATTGGCTGCACAGCATCCTGAGCTCAGTCTCCAAGCAAGCAGGAGACAGAGCACAAAGCTCCTCTTCCACTTCTGTGTTTCAGCCGCTCCAAACCCCTGTGTGCAGATGATGTGAACAGTTTCTCTGTGTTACACAGCTGCTCCATCCTGGCAGGCCAAGCACAAGTCCAGCCTCTGGAGACCAGGTCCAGGAAGTGAGTAACAACCCCTGATTCTCTCCCCACGGTCATAGGCACCAGGGCAGAGCAGCAGAGACCGGTGTTGGTGCTCTGAACCACCTGGAAGTGTTGACTCTGCCATTCTTGGTGATTTTCTGCTTGGTCATGTCTCAGCCAGACAGCACAAGCTCTGCACAGCCCATAGCACAGGACAGGCAGCAGGACAGACAGAAGGACAGCAATGGCTGATGCTCATACAACCAAAAACTACTTACAACGCTTTATTCCAATCAAGTGCTTGTCTCAACCAGGTACAAACCCAGCTTGTTCTTTTAACATTAAAGCACTTTTTAGGCTGATAAAGAAATAGGTCACCTCGATCCCATTCCTGTGCCATTATTCCCATGAGCTCCTTGAGCAGAGGCAGAGACCTATCAGTTTGCTTGCACCTGCACAGGTAAGCCAGGTAGCTCAA